GGTGGTGAAAGCACAAAGCCATCCAGGGCTCCCCCCTCTCGCTCCAGTTTGCATGAGGTAGTGTTTTGGGGGGCTGCAGCCTCCGCTCCCCGGGTTGAGGCCGGGCTGTCTTAGCAGCTGGCTGGTGCAGGGCAGGTCACTGTGCTGGGTGGACGGGGACAGCTTCCCAGAGAGCGGCCCCCATCCCAGAGTCAGAGCCAGTCGGAGGGGACACAGAGGCCTCCCTGGGGCCGGGCTTGGGGGCTCCAGGCCTGGCCTCCCTGGTCCGCCCTCCTCCTGAGCCTCCTCCGCTCCTCGGTGTGGCAGCCCGACTCGGCCGCGGTCAGGCCTCGCTGTAGCACTCGTAGATGTTGTTCTCCATCAGGGCCACCACCTGCTCGAACTTGTGCTGCAGCTGCGTCCTGCGGGCCGTGGGGTTGGCCTCCAGGGCGGCCATGATCTGAGCAGGAGGCAGCAGGGGGTCAGCCGGGTGGCCCAGCTCAGGGGTCCCCGCCTTAGATGGTGGCAGAGAGCACAGCGCCTCTATCCACCCACCAAGAGACCCACCCTAGCCGGCTGCGGTGGCCCCCACGCCTGTCATCCCAGCAGCTCGGGAGGCTGAGGCAGGAGGATCGCAAGTTGGAGGCCAGCCTCCACAGTTGGCGAGGCCCTAAGCAACTCCACCAGCCCCTGTGTCTCAGTGAAACCCCAAAACTGGCTGGGGACAGGGCTCAGTGGTTGACCGCACCTGAGTTCAGCCCCAGGTACCCCCCATCCAAAAAAAGACCCACCGTAAAGTGCAAGGTTCCCGGATGTGAGTGCTAAGGTGAGAAGTTCTGCTGCGTCTTCTACGTCAGAACGGACGTGGGCAGGTCCTACCTGGGCAGGTGCAGGGGGTCACTCACCTGGGGCCGATACCTCTTGGCGTATTTATAGATCTCTGCCATGGCCACGTTGGTATTGAACTCGTTCTGGTATTTCTGCAGGGGGAGGCCGGAGAGGGAGGCTGACCTCGCAGCTCCTCACCCCCACCTTCCAAGAGCCCCTGGACCTAGACTTCCCAGCTCCCTTCTAGAAAATTCTCTGCGGCCCCCTCCCCTGGGACTAAGGTGCTGAGCAATTGTAGATGATAAGAAGGGGACACCCAGGGGGCCCCCCAAATGCTCTGTGCCCCCCCCCCCGCCCAGCAGCGATCTGAGGGTCCAGGCTTCTGCGCCCCGCCCTCCTGCGCGTGCGCACCCGCGACTCCTCCGCCAGGTGCGCGTTCATCTCCTGCTCGCTGAGCGGCGTCATGTCCTGGATCTGCTTGTAGTAGCGCTGCACGACCTTGCGGTACTCGGGGATCTCCTTGGCGTACAGCAGCTTGTTGGTGGGAGAGTCCTGGGGACGGGGGGACATCTCAGCCAGGGCCACGTGCACAGCTAGGTCTCAGATTAGCTCTGTGTCACACGCATCCTGCTCTCGGAGGGGCACAGACTCGGGCAGGGAGGTCATTTTCTCTCTCCTGCGGTGGCCCACGCCTCTCAGCCCAGCAGCTCTGGAGGCTGAGGCAGGAGGATCGCAACTTCAAAGCCAGCCTCAACAGTTAGGGAGGCCCTAAGCAACTCAACCAGCCCCTGTGGCTCAGTGAAACCCCCCCAAAATGGCTGGGGACGGGGCTCAGGGGTTGAGCACCCCTGGGCTCAGCCCCAGGTACCCCCCATCCCCCCCCCGAAAAAAAAGACCCACCTTGCCCAGCTGCAGGTCGGAGATGGAGCAGGCGTCGATGAAGGCCTGGGCGATGACGGAGAGGCAGGCGTCGATGTGGTCCGTCTTCTCGATGTCGAAGACGAACTGGGGGTTCTTCAGAATGTTCACCCAGAACCGCAGGGGGAGGCTGGGAGGGGCGGGGGTCGCTGTGAGTCCACCCAAGGGCGGGGCAGGGAGGAAGTGGTGGCTGGAGGGCAGCCCCGGGGGATGCTGCAGTCCCCAGGATGGATGTCACCTTTGGGAACTGAGGTTTGGCTCTCCCTGGCCAGCTGGGGTGGCTGGTCCACCCTGTGGCCGCCTCTGCCCCCTGCAGAGTCCCCCCTCCGCCCTGGCTCTCCCTCTGGAGCCTCAGCCAGAGCCTGGTTTTCATTAGAGGCCTCCCCTCCCCAGCCCCGCCCATCCCCA